CACGCACGCACATGCACATGCACGCACGCTCACACACACACAGATGATAAACCCAGTAGTCCCCAGTATTTTGTGTTTCCATCTGAGGAAGCTTCACTCGATCCAGGTGTATTTGCATTGTAGTATTTGAAAGAAATATCTTTACCTTATTACACCAGCCACAGTCTTTTGTCTCATCTCAGATGTCATCTCTTTCAAAAATGTGTGATGTTTGGTCTTCTAAGTAATTAGCTCATTTCTGCTCTTTACTTTTAGTTTATCACTCCCTCACTTATTGTTGCATTGGCACCCATCTGGATTAATTATTTTTCCTTCCCATGAGAAAGAGGCAGAGCCATTAGCCACTCAGGGAAGTTGCACCAGGGGCAAATGCTGCAGATGCCAAATGGCCCAGAAAATAGTTTTCCAGTGGGACAGTAAATTGGATGGTTACCCCAGGATGTATGCATTGGATTGGTCTGACAGGGCTCAGTGAAAAAACGGTTTCAATTCTTCTGTATAAACTCATTTTTACCAAAATTCAAAAATGTACTCTATTCAGGATGGAAAGAACTTGAAATTTAATAAATTGACAGGTGGGGAGAAACCAAACTGACAGATTGGTCCTGTTAGGGTGGGTGAGTGCTCAGCTCTCTGCAGCCTGGATCTGAATACCTGCCCATTCAACTAAGATAGTGCTGATGAGCTCCTCATCTTTAAGACCTGTGCATCATGCAGGTTCAACATGGTCTTCTCCATGTATCCAGTCCATACCTATGAGTTCAAATTTCATTTTTTCCATTGTATTTATAAGGATTTACCAAAATTTGCATATGTCTTCTAGTAAAATTCTAACCAAACACAAACTGAAACAGTTTTTTCATACACCCCTATATCATCACCATCACCATCACCACCATCATCAACATCTCTATCCCACCCCACAGCTGAAGCTCTCTGGACAAGATAGTAAATATTAGTATGTCTCTTTTAGTTGGGAGTGGGCATCCATTCCCAAATGCATGTATTTTGTTCTCATCATTTTCCTTACATTTATATTCCAACTTTTTTCCACCGAGGAACACAGGTGGTGTATGAATGAAAGCAATCCAAAATGTCCTGACCAGGACCACTCCATTTAGGAATTCTAAAATCAAGGGTGTGGCTTCCTTTCTGGATTCAGTCCATCTATATCTGGTCTTCCCTTGCCCTTGACTTTCCCTAGCATGACTGTCTTCTCCAGGAAGTCTTGCCTTCTCATGATGAGTCTGAAGTATGGCACCCTTACTTTGCTTCTAGGGAAAGCTCTGGCTTGATTTGCTCTAGAACCCAGTTCTTTGTCTTTCTGTTGGTCTAGGATATTTGCAAAGAGCTCCTTCAGCACACTGTTTAGAATGTACCAATTTTCTTCCTGTCAGCTTTCTTCACTGACTAGCTCAAATAGGTAAACCTATCCTGATTGTTTGTTCCTCTAATGACATGGAGAGGAGTAATGGAAGGTTGCTCCCATAAATATCACTCAAAACCCATATTAGATGAAAAATCCATGCAAAAGGTGACAAGATTCCAAGAATATTTTGTGAATTCATGATCCCCATTCCAAGATGTACAGAAAATTGTCCACTAGATGGCAGCACAAGAATATGTGGATCAGACCTCCTTTATTCTTTACAGGAAAAATTGAGTAGGTATTGTCCTATGAGAGATCATTCCTGAACAACTTTAAAGCTATAGTAGCATTTCTTTCATTTTAGTCTGAACTCTCCTTCCCACCAAATCTATGGGACAACAAGAAATTCAGCTTAAAATCCCTTTGTGATGTTATCTGATTTCATCACATGGAGTCATTAGAATAACAAACAAACCAAAATAATTTTCAAGTAGCACATCAAGTGAATGAATTAAAAGATCCAGGTATGAATGCTATTTGATTAAAAAGTCAATTTTAGTTTAACAAGTTACATTAAGGGCTCTCCATGTTTACACAGGCTCAAAAATGCTCTTGTGGAGTACAGTGTTAGCAGAGGTGGTATTTGGGTAATTTGCATGCAATGCGGTATCCCGTGCAGTGCTTAACTGTGCTAACTTGAAGCGGGGTTGCTGTTAGTGGCAGAGTGGTCCCTAGATTTGTCCATTCCAGGCAATAGACACATGGAGTCTATGAAACTGAAATGCTGTGAAAAGGAAGGTAGCATTCCATGTTGCAGGTACTCATTTGTCATCAACTTCATCCACAATGTATTTTCTGTTGCTGTTCTTGTTCTTGTTCTTGGGATCCATCCCTGCCCCTCACCAACACACCCACATGAAACAGAATGTGGGAGAAGTTAATGCTGCTTGAAATTAACTTTATGTACTAACTGATTTTCAACCCACCAAGCAACTTGAACCCAAAACAGAATAGAATTTGAATAAAGTCTTTTATGATTGAATAAACCTTTTTAATATAGAAAGGAAGAATTTTAATTCTGGAAATCCCTTGGTTTTAATGGGAATTGCCAAATGTATTTCAGATTATGGCTTCATTGGTGGCCATTTCACAAAGTGCAGAACAAGGGCACAAGGTTAGTGAATGCATGATCCTCCAAATGTTGGACTTCAAGTTCCATCATGTATCCCAGCTCATGGGAGTTGCAGTCCAATGACATCTGGAGGGCCATATTTTCCTTATGCCTGCTTTACCAAAGCATTGACTTATACATTCATTTTACTGGAACAGCCACCTCTGTAAATGAGCTTATAAATTATAGGGTTCACCAACAGAGTCAAAATGGTATAGGACACAGAAATGACTTTATGATGAGACCACAGAGACCATAGAAGAAATAGAAAATGACCACCAATGAGATGAGAGGAGCATGTAGAGAAAGGTTTTCACCTCCCTACCCCAAAAAAAAAAAATTCTTAAGATTTTGGAAATAATGCAAGCATAAGAAGTCAGCATTAGGACAAAAGGAGGAAGAGTAACTGCAGAAGACTGAAAGAACCTCAATGTGGAAATGAGATGTGTACCACTACAGGAATTGACAATATGAAGGAAATGTTTCATGCAAAGATGGGCATGATAAAGGACCAAAATGGCAGGGACCTAACAGAGGCAGAAGAAATTAAGAAGAGGTGGCAAGAGTACACAGAAGAACTATACAAGAAACAGTTTAATGTCCCTGATAACCACGATGGGGTGGTCACTGGAATGAGCCAGACATCCTGGAATGTGAAGTCAAATGGGCCTTAGGAAGTCTGAGCAACAACAAAGCTAGTGGAGGTGACAGTATTCCAGCTGAACTATTCAAAATCTTAAAAGATGATGCAGTAAAAGTGCTACACTCAATATGCCAGCAAATTTGGAAAACTTAACAGTGGCCACAGAATTGGAAAAGGTCAGTTTACATTCCCATCCCAAAGAAGGGCAATGTCAAAGAATGTTCAAACTACCATTGCACTCATTTCACATGCTAGCAAAGTTATGCTCAAAATCCTACAAGCTAGGCTCCAGCAGTATGTGGACCGAGAACTACTAGAAGTACAGGCAGGATTTTGACGAGGGAGAGGAACTAGAGATCAAATTGCCAACATACATTGGATCATGGAGAAAACCAGGTAGTTCTAGAAAAACATCTAGTTCTGTTTCATTGACTATGCTAAAGCCTTTGATTGTGTGGATCACAACAAACTGTGGCAAGTTCTTAAAGAGATGGGAGTACCAGACCATCTTATTTGTCTCTTGAGAAACCTATATGCGGGTCAAGAAGCAACAGTGAGAACGGGACACGGAACCACTGATTGGTTCAAAATTGAGAAAGGAGTTTGACAAGGCTGTATACTGTCACCCTGCCTATTTAACTTATATGCAGAGCACATCATGAGAAAGGCGGGGCTAGCTGAATCACCAGTTGGAATTAAGATTGCTGGGAGAAATATCAACAACCTCAGATATGCAGATGATACCACTCTAATGGCAGAAAGTGAAGAGGAATTAAAGAACCCATTGATGCGGGTGAAGGAGGAGAGCGCACAAGTTGGCTTGAAACTCAACATTAAGAAAACTAAGATCATGGCATCCGGTCCTCTCACTTCCTGGCAAATAGATGGGGAAGAAATGGAGGTAGTGACAGATTTTATTTTCCTGGGCTCCAAAATCACCACAGATAGGGACTGTGGCCAAGAAATTAAAAGATGCTTGCTCTTGGGGAGGAAAGCTATGGAAAATCTAGACAGCATCCTAAAAAGCAGAGACATCACCCCGCCAACAAAAGTGTGTATAGTCAAGGCTATGGTTTTCCCAGTTGCAATGTATGGCTGTGAAAGCTGGACAATAAGGAAGGCTGAGTGCTGAAGGATTGAGGCCTTTGAATTGTGGGGCTGGAGGAGACTCCTACGAGTCCCTTGCACTGCAAGATCAAACCGGTCCGTCCTAGAGGAGATCAACCCTGACTGCTCTTTAGAAGGCCAGATACTGAAGAAGAAACTCAAATACTTTGGCCACCTAATGAGAAGGAAGGACTCCCTGGAGAAGACCCTGATGCTGGGAATGATTGATGGCAAAAGGAGAAGGGGACGGCAGAGGATGAGGTGGCTAGATGGAGTCACTGAAGCAGTTGGTGTGAGCTTTAGTGGGCTCCGGGGGATGGTGGAGGACAGGAAGGCCTGGAGGAATGTTGTCCATGGGGTCGCGATGGGTCGGACATGACTTGGTGACTAACAACAACTACTACTACAAGAAAGCTTTGAAACCGGGGAATAGGCATGGAAAAATGTACTGGGTCAAGTAGAGCTCAGGTGGGGAGGTGTGCAAAGGGTAAATGATAAGTTGCCAAAACCCAACATTTCTCCCCCTTCACTTACTTCAAATCATCATGACATTTGTTCAATTTCTTGTCTGGCATTTAGGAAGGTGTCTTCTTAAGGCTTCTTGACCTCTTGATTTCTGAGACTATAGATAAGCGGGTTCAACAACGGTGTCAAAATAGTGTAGAAAACAGACAAAACTTTGTTCAGATTCATTAGCTCCTTGGATTCAGGTAAGATATACACGATCATGAGAGTCCCATAGAAAATTGTGACAACAATGAGATGAGAGGAACAGGTAGAGAAGGTTTTTTGCCTTCCTGTTACAGAGGGAATTCTCAAAATTTTGGAAATGATGCAGATATAGGACATCACTGTCAGGACAAAAGGAGGAAGAGTAAATGCAGAAGACAGAAGGAAAATCAACATGGAAATAAGCTGTGTGTCACTGCAGGAGAGCTTTAAAATTGGGGATGAATCACAGAAGAAATGGTTGATTACATTTGGACCACAGAAAATTAACTGTGACATCAACAATGTTACCATGGCACTAGCAAGAAAGCCATTGAACCAAGACCCCCATGCCAGATGTTGACAGCGCTTGCTATTCATGAGTATGCCATAATGCAGGGGTTTGCATATTGCCAAATAACGGTCATAAGACATCACAGATAGAAGATAACATTCTGTGCCAGCCAAGCCACCAAAGAAAAAATATTGTATGATGCAGATCCTAATGAAAATAGTAGTTTTGCTTGATAGGAAACTGGCCAGTATTCTGGGAAGGATTGTTGAACTATAGCAAAATTCTAGGCAAGACAAATTTCCTAAGAAGAAATACATAGGACTGTGAAGATGTCTGTCATTTACAATGAGTACAACTATGAGAAGGTTCCCAGTCATTGTCACAAGATAAATTATTAAGAGAAGCAGGAACAGAGGAATCCGAAGACTCCGAAGATCTCCAAATCCCAGAAGGATGAATTCTGTAATCTCTGTTTGGTTTTTCATTCCCATGTTCATCATCATATAATCTAGGAAAACAGTAGTAAGTGTATAGAACTTGAAAATAATTACATATTTTGGAGTTTTCAGTTCAATCTGGTTTCAAAATAGCAATATGCATTTATGAGAAGTCAATTTCAGTTTGTTTTTGATCAGGATGTACCTACACCTCCTATATTTAACTAGGATTTGCATAGAATATAGAATCATAGAATACTAGAGTAGGAAGGGGCCATGAAGGCCATCAAGTCCAACACCCTGCTGTTTCAGGGCACACTTTTATACCACCCCACCAGATGGCTGCCCATATGTTTCTGACCTTGTAATACGAATTACATTTCCTTACCTAAAAATAAAGTATTTTACAGTGTGCTTACATTTGAGTAATGTGTCTTCAATGCATCTTCTTTTGGAAAACGTGCACAAACATGATTTCAGAGTGATCCCATGACTTACAAATCTTCAACAGCTGCCACAGAAAGAACTGCATCAACACCTTCTCTGAGGTTATGAGAGCTACAGTATCTCAAAAATGTTCTTTTGGAGACTTTTTGGGGACAGAATGGGGAAGAAACCACTGCCATCAAGATACGGTGTATCTTAGTAATGTTTAATTCTTGTACTTTCCTACATTCCCTTTCACACTATGCTTAGATGGTCAATCCAAAATCTAAGGGCTTTGAAGAATAAAAGGAGCATGGACCCATGTTCCCATGCTCCTCCCACCATGGATGGCATGCCTGTGATCCTCCAAAGCCCAAGTTTTACAGGCATCTCCACTGGATTGTGCCCATTGGACTGTGTAGTTTATTGGACTACATTGGACCTAAATGGGCCCTTCCACCTCTGTGATTCTTTGTAGTGCCTTTTCAGGCCTTCCTGCTTGTCACTGAAGCTGCATTTGTGTGGGATACAAACACATTTTCAAGTATGCTTTCACTATTAACATGTGCCCCAGCGGTGATAGATGTGCTTGGCATAAATATTGTCCCTGTGCTTCATCATAAATGAAAGGGGAGCTAAAGGTAGATCCTCCCTGTGAATCATTCCAAGCAATGTATTTTAATTCCTTTCATTAATTTAAGAAGCTTGTAGAAAAAAGGACTATTGCTGTTCAACCTTTTATTTAGCATTAAGCCATTTTTTTATAGTTGGCAACTAAATGTGACATGAAACACGAGTGCTTTTTATTTCTGCTTTTATTTTGAATGAAAAGAAGTGCATTGTGTGAGGAGATGCTGTTGTAAGCAATACAGGGGGATCTATCCACCCTTACCTTACCCCTTCATCCGAGGCTGGAAAAATACAGAAAAAAATGGCTCCCCAGGCATGCCATTTTTAGCACACCCTGTACTGGTACCACTTCTTTACTTGTGCCTCTTCTTCCAGAGGAAAATGTAGCATGCAAACCAGACAAGGAAATAGCTGCAGTTCCTTCTTCTGGGCAATGTAGCAGGAAGGAGTGGGCTCACGAGGCTGCTTGGGGCAAGCTGTGAGTAGGGAGCTCTGCCTGCTTACTCACCTTCTCTGGCAAGGTAGTGAAATGCTGATCACAGTAGGATCAGCTTCCTTATCCCCTCATTCACTCATTCATGCTTTCCCTTGGAGTGAGATGGTGGTGGGATTGGACTCAGCTGTCTCAGTCTTGAGTGAGCAAGCAGGGGAAGAAGGTGCTTCTCCATGGAGCAGGCAAGAAGATTAAGCACTATATGCTGAAGATAACCCCCATCTGGATTGGGACCCCAGTGTCTTTGTCTGGGGAAGCTCAATTGCCCACCATCCTGATACTAGACATTGATCTGGATAAGGCCATCTAAGCTTACACCAGAGTAAGAAAGACAGGCAAAAGGCACTGCTGCTTACTCTGTATTTAAAATGTAACCTTCTTTGTCCCCAAAGGTGGCACAGTCCCAACATATTCCATCCATATTCTGCAAGCATTTTTACAAAATATGTGTACTGGATACATGCAACGCTTCAAAACCATCATCAGAACAGCTAATTAGATTTCTCCTAATAAGTGCTTGACAAAATTGCTGGCTTTGACATTGCATTTAGGCTAGAGCAACATAAGAACATGAGAAGAAATGGTCCATCCACTCCAGCACTCCATTCACATGGTGGCAAACCAGGATCCCTCAAGCAGGACAGGTATAAGAGTTCCTCCACTCCAAGCTGATCAGGCATACTGCTTCTGGTAGCAAGAGGCTCCTCAAATTCTTGGAGGGCTACCATTTTCTCCCCTGGTGAGTAGTATTTGCGTTCTTTAGCCAGGGACATTGCACAGAGTGATGGCTTATAGAACAACAACATTTGGTCATGCATACATAACTTGCACTCAGCAGTGTCACTGCTATTATCGGAAGCCAGATGATCTATCACTTTGAGGAACACTGTACGCTAAACAAAACTGAGGAACATAAAGGGCTTCACCTTCTTTCTGACACACACACACACACACACACAAACACACACACAGAGAGAGAGGGGGGGATATCATTTCCATTTGTCTCTGTTAGTCTGCTGATAGGACAAGAATCAGTGAGTTTATACTTTTCCTTTCTGTGCACTAACATGTATAAGATGCTACCATCTTCCTCAATTAGGGAAAGCTTTACTGGATCCAATGTATTTGAAGACAGGAAGCACTTTATTATTTTAAGGGAATATAATTACCTTTTTGTCAAAGAAAAGCAAGTTGGCCAGGAATTCCAGCTCTCTTTCATCCCCATCCATGTCTCGGAAGTTCATTTATTTCAATAAAGTATGATGGTATGAACTTCTAATGGGAATGGCCCTGTTTTTATTCTTATCATCAGTTAATTTCCCATATCATCATGCCTTTTTCCCCTTGATTCCCATATGAACTAATTATTTGCCATTCCCATGAGAAAGAGAATGATCCAGTAACAGTTTAGGGAAGGGGCACTGGCTCTGCAGTGGGAAAAATGTTCAGAGGCTACGCTTCACAATGGAACGACATTCTCTAATGGAGAATGGAGTGGGTGGGAGGATTTGATAAGGGTCCCATGAGAGTGCACCCATGGAGTTACCTGGCAGGGGATAACAATATTATCACAGTGCAAGTATAATTATTCACATATCTATGCTGCCCATAGACAAATCTCTCTGGGTGATTCACAACATTAAGTCATCCATCCAGATTTCAGCCAGGCCCGACCCTGCTTAGCTTCCAAGATTAGGAAGAATTCAACACTTCAGGCTATACAGAAGCTGTTTCAATAGCAATATAGCTATAGGCTATAGCCATAGCAATCCTATGGATAACTGCTCAGATGCAAGTCCCAGTGAATTCAGTTGAATGTATTTTCAGTAAAACACATAGTATATGATAATATTGCATTTTTAACCCACCTTTCTTACATATTCAAATCACTCAAGTTGGGCTATAAGGTTATCCTACTCTCCATTTTATCCTCACAACAACAACCCTGTGAGTTAGGTTTGGCTGAGAGTCTGTGACTGGTCCAATTTACACTGTGAGCTCCAGGGCTGAGAAGGGACTGGAATCCAGAGCTCCCAAATCCCAATTCAAAATGATTTAGCTGATATCAATTACGTGCTCAAAGCCACATAGTTTAGAATGACTGAGTAGCCATTCTATTTTCATCTGGAACCCTGCTAATTGAAAACCTTTGAAGAAAACTTAGCATGGAGCATGGCTTTATTTTCTGTGACATGCATACTTTCCTTTTCCTCACCCCCAATTAAAAAGACAACAGCCCTAAATTCCACGGCAATTGGAACTCACACTTAATTTTAGCATGCCTGTCCCAGTTTTCTAATTATGGTGACAGTGTTACAGGCTGAGGGAGCAAGACATATAAGGGGAATACGAAAGAGAAAAGGTTCTTGAAATTTGTCCCACAGAAAGTAAATGTGCAGGGCTAGCTACTGGAGTCTGGTGGCATGTGTAATAATGGGAGTTTCCTAGAAAAGGATTCTGAGTCCATTCTTTTCCCTGCTATTGATGAAATAATCCAGCAGTGGCTGTACATATGACAGCAAAACCTCCTCTCTTGTTGCTGAGAGTACATGGAGACATTTGGGGGTGGCAAGGCATGGATGCTTAAGCCCTGAGGAAATGTGCCAGGAAATTTTGACAGGCAAGTTTATCTGCCTATTAATACATGGATTACAGTGGTTCATCCTTTCCTAATGCTCCTTCAAAACATAATATACTGGTCAGGTAGTTGTGGGTGCTGTAGAAGCGATGGTCTTTCTTCCTCTGCCTCTCTTGTTGGTCCTTGAAATGCTAACAGTGCAGCCTCACAGTGACAAACATGCTGGAAAACTACATTTGGCAGATTCCCTGAAGCTGGTCACAAAAACATGGTAGCATTTCAAGTATATGGGTGAGTAAGGCAAAGGTATAAGCAGGAAGACAGGGTAGAATAACTGAACAAAGGAGGACAGAGCAGAGACTAAGGCCTCTCTCCCTGTCTCTGAAGAACAATCAGTGGTGCTTCTACTGCTGCAAGGGAAGGGGAGTCAGGAGGCATGGTGAGAGGGACCCAGGTCTCCCTGCAGTCCTAAAGAAGGTTGTGAATTAAGCTGAGAATCAACAATGCTATATTCAAGGGGGTTTGGGGGGAAAGTTCCTCAAGTTGCCACATTGTAATTCAAAGCCAATCAGGGAGGAATCATCAAGCACATCTGCTGAGGCTGAGATGGTAGCCTGCTCAAGACTATCTAGGATGCTTCACCAGTAGCAAGCTTAACACTAGAAGTTTCATAGTTGACACCTTAGCATCATAGCCTTTTCATTTCAAAATACATCATGAAGAATGAACAGAACACTTCTTTTTATTTACTTCCTTAACTTTCATTTTATTTATTTTTCAGCTGCTGGTAGCTATCGCCAACACTTATGGAGAACCCTTCTCAAAGCTTTCTTTACCTCTTGGTTTCTCAGGCTGTAGATGAGAGGGTTCAGCAAGGGCGGCACAATGGTATAACCAGCAGAGAAGATTTTGTTCAGATCCATCAGTTCATTTGTTTTTGGTAACATATACACAATCACAAGGGATCCATAGAAAATGGCCACAACAGTGAGATGAGAGGAGCATGTAGAGAAGGTCTTTTGCCTCCCTTCTTTGGATGAAATTTTCAAGATTTTAGAAATAATACAAACATAGGATGCCAATGTTAGGAAAAAAGGAGGAATGGTGAACCCTGAGCACAGAACAATTATCAATGTGAAAACGAGCTGTGTGTTACTGCAAGAAAGTTTAAGGATGGGAAGAGAGTCACAAAAGAAATGGTTGATTACATTTGGGCCACAGAAATGTAACTGTGACATAAACAGTGTTACTATAGCACTGACAAGAAAACCATTTGACCAAGATCCACACACCAGATTTCGACAGAGCTTGCTATTCATGAGAGCAGCATAATGCAGGGGTTTGCATATTGCCAAATAACGATCATAAGACATCACAGATAGAAGGTAACATTCTGTGCCAGCCAAGCCACCAAAGAAAAAATATTGCATGATACAGACCCTAAAGAAAATTACTTTATTGCTAGATAGGAAACTAACTAGCATTCTGGGCAGAATGGTTGAACTGTAGCAAACTTCCAAGCAAGACAGGTTTCCTAAGAAGAAATACATTGGAGTGTGAAGATGTTGATCACTCACAATGAGTACAACTATGAGAAGGTTCCCAGCCATAGTCAAAATGTAGATTAACAGGAACAGCAAGAAGAGGGGGATCTGCAGATTCTGGAGGTCTCCAAATCCCAGAAGGATGAATTCTGCAATTTCCGTTTGATTTTTGATCTCCATATTAATCATTCATGTTATCTAGAAAAAGAGCAGTACATGGAGAAACAGAATTTGAAAACAATTGTGTATCTTCAGGCATCATTCATAGTTCTACCACCTGTAAAGTGGTTAGTAGGCTGGATTGTAATTCCAGAGGATCAGAAAACATGTTCAACCAAGATTGTCTGACTGATGATAGCACACACCATTGTGTTGTGGAATCCAGATGGACAGGCATGAATCATCAGTATTGTTAAGTGTGCTTTTTTGTGTAGACATGCTCGTGTCCTTGTTCACATTCTCCCATATGTGCATTTATGAAACCCCATGGGAACCTTTAGACATTGGCCATAGAACACCTATGGCTAAGAGGAGATATGAGAGATACCCCAAACACACACACACACACACACACACACGCACAGAGAGAGAGAGAGAGAGAGAGAGAGAGAGAGAGAGAGAGAGAGAGAGAGAGAGAGAAGATCTGAGAAACAACCCATCTGGTTCATGTAATGATCACAAACAAAATTTGGAAATGAAGGAGTGAATTCTGGAGAAATTAACTTGGTAGAGCTACATCAGTTTAAACATAAACATAAGGACCATGAGCTTGCAAGCCCTTCAGGAGGACTGTACTCCATGTGAGCAAATTCTTTGCAAGTCTAGTTCCTAATACCTCAAATAAGGCTGCTGAAGTTAACTATGCACAGCATCTGCTCACTGCAGCTTACAAGACTTTACAACACTTACACACTCCAAAATAAAGCCACTGGTGTGCTCACCCTTTTGTTCCCTTAAGTCTTCACAATATGATTCTGTGAATTTTTCTAACTGGGCACCTTTTCTGGAAGAGGTGGACAACTATGGGGTGCTCCTAATCTTGAGAAAACCAAAGAAACACCACCTTCCAAAGGCAGCTGCAATTTTCCCACCTGCAAAGCTCAGAAAACATGCTTTGGGACTCCAAACAAATATTTCAAATATTATTTATTTATTTCACCTGGAACCAAGATATGCCAATATGCATGTGGATCAACTCACACCTCTTCATAAAGTATAGAGAGGATAGAGAAAGGATACATATGTTGGGAGAACCTCCAAAGGCAGTATTATTTCACCAGGCTGGAACACTTTCTCAGTGATTGTTACCTGGAGGCTTTGGAGAGACACTAGCCAAAATTTTCCCCTGTTAATGAGACTCAGGGAGACACAGACCCATCCAGTCAAGCAGCTGCTTATTTGAGGGGTGGGGGAACTAGGTAAGAGAGAAAAAGAAATTCAGTATTCCCCACCCTAGGTGGAATCACTTGTATGCCGGAACAGTAGATACCTGTATGTTGCAGCTATTTTTCCTTGCTCTTTATTTAAATATTCATGGAAACAGGAAACATCTTTACCTGAAGCATATGAAAATAGATTTGGCAAGCAATTATCAAAATTCTCTCTTTTTTTCCCATCCACTTCTCAGTCTTCCAGTGAAGTGTGTTATTGTTGTCTGCTAACAGGAATGTGATGATTCTGTGCTCATCCTCAATCAGTGTTTCATTATTTGAAGCATTGTTGCAATGATTCCCATCTTATTTAGTCCTCTGTTCCTCCTGTGAGAGACAGCTCCATTAGTCGTTCAGGGAAGAGGCATTGTCACTACAACTGGAAAAGGTAGCTGAGAGTAAGTGGGTCAGAAGATGTTTCCCAGTGGGAGGAGTGTAGGATGATAAATTGATAATTGGGAAAACAGATGGGAAATTCTTAAGAAAGCCAAAAGAGTTTAAATAATAGGAAACAATCAAGCAAATATTATCTGGCCTAAGGTTGGCAAGTATTTTCACCCAAATAAAAATTAGACATGACTATGGTATGTTCTGATTAAGGAAAAGCATACAAATGATTTACAGAGATATTGTTGTGCTATAATTGGCCTCCACAGAACTGGGAAGATGTGGGTTTAAATCCCAGCTCATCAAACAAGCTTGTTGGGTGTCTTTCAGCCAGTTTTTTCAACTCAACCTATCTCCCTCATTGGGTTCTTCTGAGGATTAAGGAGATAAAAACAAAGACCTGTGATTGCAAACCTGAGCCTTGGAGGAAGTGTGGGATCACACACACACTCACACACAAGATTTAGTAAGATATGAGCAACTGAACCCTGGTAAGTGTCCAAATTCAGGCATATTTAGGAGCAGTAACCATGGCTAAGAAACAATATCTCATTGTATTTATTCAAACTTCTATTTGCTGCCCAGCTTATTTTAGGGTTTTCCAGGGGCCTTATTATATGCTAGGGACATTCTAGGGTTGCCTGAGGCCTGCTGCAATCTATTTATTGAGCACTTCTAGAGGTGGTGGTGATCTTGGAAGATTAGAGTCCAGAGTAGAACAGCTAAAACAGGTTAGATACCGAGACTGCAACTTTGTTCTGTTTCATTGAATGAGTTTCAGTTGGGACAGCTTGAGAATATTGACAAAGTTCTTGGAAAGGTTCATGTAATGACTTATGTACTGGACCCTTGCCACTCCTGGCTCATAAAAGCCAGCAAGGCGAGAGCAACCAGGGACATGTTCAAAGCCTTCTTATGAGAGGAGCGATCCCATGCTCCTTGAAAAAGACACCAGTCTGAGACTATGCCTGTAGAAATCCTCCCCGGACCCAAACATTCTTAACTACTTGAGGCTGGTAGTAAATGTTCCTTTCTTGGGCAAGGCTCTTGAGCAAGTGGTTGCCAATCAGATCCAGATGCTCTTGAATGAAAACATTCTCATTCCAGAGCATGATATGAATCCATTTCACCCAGAGCTTAGTCTGGACTTTAGTATAGAGACAGCTTTGGTAATCCTACAAATGACCTATTCCATGAGAGAGATGGTATCCTTCTAGAGCAGGGGTCAGCAACGTGAGGCTCTGAAGCCACATGTGGCTCTTTCATCCCTCTACTGCGGCTCCCTGTCACTCAAAATATGTGTCACAACCGTCAATGTATGACACCCACTGGCACACAATTTATTGAGCTTTTTGACACCCAGACCATGGATAAATCCAAGTAAAGAAAAGTTTCAGAAGAAAACAGAACATTTAATGGTCTGTGAGCAGATTCATTTGCTTTCACTGCTGATAAGACTGGTTTACCAGTCTGTTTTGGGGTTTTTTTAGGTAAAAAATGATATATGCAGTGTTATCTTCATTTTAGATGTCAAAAGGGTTTTGTGGCTCCCAGTGTTTTCTTTTCTGTGGAAAATGGATCCAAATGGCTCTTTGAGTGTTTAAGGTTGCTGACCCCTGTTCTAGGGCAAATGTCTGAGTTGGAAGTGTGAAAAGGTACTTCATTGCAGTGGTTCTGCTCCTACTTGGAGGGCTGGCTCCAGAATGTGGTGCTTGGGGCATGTTAAACCACTGTTTAACCTCAGTGGTCACTTCTGTCCTCCATGCTATTTAACATCTGCATGATCTGGAGTTCTGAAGTGTGTTGCCACCAGTATGCTGGGAACACACAGTTCTGCTTCTCCTTTTCCTCTCCATAATGTGGTACAGGAATGAAAATGCTGGTGCTGTTGCAATTAATTAATTCAAGCCATGTGCATGAACATCCCCTGATGCCTCTATCTCTGAAGAATTTCAAGACGGTGGTGGGAGCCACAAGTGATTTATTTTTTTGTGAAGCTATCTGTGACCTTGGTGCTATCAGAATTAGTTAATTAACAGCCGGAATTAACATTCACATGAGGCAATTTTGGTTTTTTATTTCAAATTCTTCCAGATACATGAGTTAATCTCTTCTTTAATGTAAAAGATTCTGCATCACCTTTAAGGTAAACCACAAGATGCGTTTTCCCTTTAGTCCAACTAAATTGGCAAACAGCCAATAGAACTAACCAAAATTCTCCTATCAACACTTCCAAGGCAGATACCAGGCAGTCAAGCAATTGTCTTGTCATTATGTCACAATGCCTTATTTGCATATCAAGACACCTACCCAATAAAAGGATTATGTAGGTAGACCTGACACCTAAGAATCCAAGCTATGCTGTGAGATGTCCCAGTGATGCAGCAGTCTTCATTCAAATAGTTCAGTTACACACTAGAAATTTCTATTGTGGTCTCAAAAGAAAGAAGATCTAAGCCTTCCATTGACTTGGAATTTTTGTGTCAGACAACTCAGGTACTCAGACAATTATCTTAGCCAATTGTCTATGTCCTTTGGGTAGAGGTAAGTGCCTATTGCACCTCATGTAGTTATCCCATTTGGTCCAGCTATGCCTATATATCTTCTGTTTGATGGATCCATTCTAGCGTATATTCTTGGTATAGCAGGTTGCCATAATGAAGTCCCACCTGATGGAGAAGACACATTCTCTCTTTTCTTTAATTTAAAATGCCCCTTAGTAGACATGCCAAGGAAGATACCCCTGCTTTGTTTTCATAATGCAAATAAGTATTCCAAGAGGGTATTTGATCTATTATCTCTTATTGCCTGCTGATGCATCATTCAGTCTTGTATCCTTGGAAGAAGGAGAAGCAAAGAGGTCTTAGAAAAATATCAGTTGGCTAATCTTTGCGAGGAAAAGAAGAAAAGGTGAAACGACTTTTAATGCATAAACATGCATATATTTCATAACATTATTTTCTGTCTGAATTTAAGTGGATGACAACTGTAGTGATGTTTTCAAAATGTTTGGTATGCATTTAAAGTTTTTGCAGCATGCTAGTTCAAATAACAATAAGAAACATTCACATAAAGGATGAATTTTAAAAAGTGATTTTGCTGGAAAATCCTTGTTCTTCACAAAAGTAGTATGTTTGCTCGGTTTCAAATGACAAAACATAAATTATATAACATTGTGTGTTTTGTTTTCTTCAGATGAAGCATACAGCAAATAAAGTATGACCAAATCAACCCATTATATGTGAATTCATACTTCTGGTATTTGGAGATCTCCAGAAACTTCAGGTTCTTCTATTCCTTCTCTTCTTAGTGATCTGTCTGACAATGATAGCTAGAAATCTTCTCATTGTACTGCTCTTTTTGATTGAACAG